GCAGGAATTTCCTGCATAGTTCCAATCAGTGCACATTCTTGAGCCAAATACCCAACAGGCTTTTGAAGGATTTCAAAGGCAGCATGACTAATGTAATGTTTTGATTGGGAAGCGAGGAGAGAGTTCTCAGCAACCCACTCTTCTTAATTACATGAATCAAACACCTCCTCGAGGGTAGCCAGGGAGCCTGTGTCAGCCTTTGGTTCCCAGCCCTCCTATCCTGCCCACTGACCAGCACAGAGAGGCCAGTGCCTGTCAAATGAGTAAGCACAGGAGCTACAAGTCCACCTGCTTGGGACAGCAGAGATTTTATGTGTGATTCTATAGTGCTGATTCTTAATTTCTGCTCCTGGTCCCAGATTCCTTATGTAAATCTTTCAACTATTGTTCACCTCGAAATTTCAATGTGCTTCGAATGACGGATCAGCTCGGGAGGTGCCAGGCTTGCCCATTGAAGCCCCATTCAAGTTCAGGGGTGGGGGAGGGGTAAAAGAAGGGGATTTCAAACTTGAAAAGCCAGTAATATTGTAAAAGCCAAGGGTGTTGAGGTCCAGGGTCCAACAACATCACAGGGCACAGCACTCCAGTGCCCATTTCCTTCCCTCCCCCAGCCAGCCCTTCCTCCTCCTTGCCCCCAATCACCACAATTTCCCTTCCACAAATCAGCCTTTGCCAAGTACTTCCATGCATGCTGTTTGGTTCTTGGTCGATCTGTATAACTGAGACCTTCCCCAATCTCTTCCTCCTACCCCAAGACAGCTGTGTTTCCAAATGTCTTCCAGATTGACCTCTGCCAGGAACCAGGACATCTATAGGCAGAACTAGCCCCTTTCTAGTACAACCCTCACCCACCCCTCCAACACTCTCTCTCCACCTAAATTACCATTACCTGAATGCCTACTATGTGCCAGGGGAAGGGAACTAATAGCTTCACTGAGCACCTCTCCAGGTTGTTGTTTTGTCTCCTTGCACCCTGTTTCATCCTGCTCTGCAGACATCATAATTATTCCCATTTTCCCAGCGAGTCTCCAGAGGCTGAGGGAGGCTGACGGCTGCTCAAGGGCCCACTCTAAGTGGTATCAGCCCTCACCGGCTCTGGGCTATCTACTGCACCCTCAGACCCCTCCTCACCTGTCCAAAATCTGCCCATCACACCCTATATGAATGAGTATACCCTCTGCATTAGCCAGAAGCCCAGGGAAAAAAGAAATGACACTCAAAGGGGTCATTCATGAAGGAATGGGCAGGGTAATAGGGGCCGCCTGCAGGGATGGTTTGGGCAGGTCCCCAGAGCTTGTGACAGCAGGAACCATCACCACCCCAGACCTAAAAGGGGGAGCAGAGTGGGAAGTGACCAGAACCCAGAGCCAGAACTGGACACAAGACTGTGGTAAGGGCCTTGGGACTTTATGTGAGTAGAGGCAGCCAGCTCCGGACACTGGGGGGAAGAGGCTTGCTCTCCCCCGATCTCCCTCTCTCTGATCTCCTGTAGATTCTCATCTTTGATCAAAACCAACAGGAAGCCATAGGGCAAGGGGTCCAGATATGTTCCAAAAAGATCCACCTCCCTAGACAAAAAGCAAGTGAAAACTCTGTATCCGTAACACAAAGGACATGTGAAGTCCCACCCACAACTGAATGGCTGCAGGCAGTGTCCACTGCATCAGTCCTCCTCTGAGTTCTCTGATCCCCAAAATCCCTTTTGTAACCACAGCTTTTTCCATAGACCCCTCTCCCTCTGTCAGGGACGGTCTCTTTGCCTTGAGGGTGAATCAAGCCTCATTTCTTTGAGGTCTGAGTCTTTGGTGGCATTTATATTGCATTGCCCAGTGGGCTGGGCCAGGACTTTGCGTGACAAGCACAATCTTCCATCTCACCCCCACATGATGTGTAGAAGCAACCCAATTCACCATGGCACCTGGACCATCTCCTCATGCCCCTTCTTTGCCTCCTTGCTGAGCTATATCAAGAACCTCAAACATCCATAAGACATTTTAGCTGTAACCCAGAAAAAGTAAGAGGAACCTCTTCTTAGGGAGGCACAGGATCATTTACATGAATTACTCCCCATTAAGTCTCAGCACATCCTTGTGAGGTGACTGCCCCTATCCCAGTCAATAGATGGGAAAACAGGTTCAGAGCAATGGATTCACTTTTCCAGTGAGACCCAGCACTGATATTCAGGCCTAGGACATTTCTGAAGTGTGGCTCTTTCGTGGCCCCCACTGTCACCTTCTAACTGTATCTGCCACAGTAACCCTATGAGTTAAATGCCCCTGCCTGGACAGACACACAGACAGACAATCTTTTGGACTGCTAGGCCCCCTCCCTCAGCAGGACCCAAATACCGCAGAACATGCAGGAGTAAAATGTTCTCTTCATCTTCTGCTTAGGACCTGCCAGGATCCCTTGTCTGGATCAGCCAGCTCAGGAATCACCTCAAGAGGCCTCCACCCCAGCCTGTGCCAGGAGGCCGAGCCTGATAAACAGCAGCCACCTTCAGGGAAGGAGGAGCAATCGAAGATGGAGCCTTCACGATAAATCACCTGCACAGAAGCCCAAAGCCTTTCCCATGCCCCTTCAAATTAAAAGAGTTCCCTCTCCTAATATATTAATTAAAATGAAATATTAATAGCTGACCTTTATTATTTATGGGCTGTTTGGGGAGAATAAAATATTGAGATCCAAAGAGGAATCAATTTCAAGGAAAACTCCCTCTCCAGAGCAAGGCTTGATTCGTGCCACATAATAAAGAGATAAGCTTATCAGCTGCATCAGTTCAGAGACTTCTGCTGTAAATGTTGATTCTGAACCAATAAGAAGATTAGAAGCACTGTCATAAATATCTCTCCAGGATGTAAATTATTCAAAGCCCTTCGTGGGCAGACACAGGATCTCATGCCTCAGTGAGCCCTGTTCTATGCAACACATTTCATTTATTAAAGCTGGAGAGGGCCTCTGTTGATAAAGCCCCTAAATAAATGATAACCTTCATCTCCTGCTTCCAAATTATTTCCACGATTAGAATGTGAAATGTTCGTGCCAGAGGTGTCAAAAGGGCTGCCTTTGTGAGTGAAGGGTATGTCTTCATTGGGAAGCTCGGCGCCCCAGGGCAGCCAGCCCCCATTCGGAGCAGGGCAATGGAGGCAAAGAAGCAAGCTCCAAAGGCTCATCTTTATAACGTCTGAGCAGCCGGATAAAATGGGATAATGTCATAAAGGGATTGAAGTCCACAACTTCTTTGCCACTCATTCTCAGTATGACCTTGACCTCTGGTGTGTTATTCAATTTCTCTAAGAATCTCTGGTAAATGGAGGTAAAGAGTGTATATGTACACCCATCAGACACTCAGTCTCACAGGAGGCTCTCAGTCAATATCCCTACCCTGATCACCAGTCATGGCGGACACCCCAGGAGGGACACAGTTTCTCAGCAACTCAAGGTCTCCTGCAGCATCATGGAGTATGCCAGGCAGTTCTGCCCCAGAAGGCACTACAGCAGGGTCACACTGTATTTATCTCTGGCCTTCATTATATAAAAACCAGATAAACCCTACCCATCCTTTAAGTCCCTAATTCAAATGCCACCTCCTTGAAGCATTCTGTGATTTCCTCACTTAGATTCTGTCTCTTCTTTTCATCCTTCCTGAAACACTATGGAGTGCCCATCCTACACCAACTACTGCTGTGTGTAATCTTGGGTAATCTTCTTTACACCATGGCAAGGCAAGTCCGTTTGCCATATTTTAAAGACATAGGGTGGGGTGGGGGTTAAATGTCTTAATCAAAATCACACATTGAGAAAGAGATGGGACTGGGATCTGAACCCTGTTTGACCTGGCTCCCAAGTCCACGCTCTTTCCTTTTATTTCCACTAATCGCCCTGCTGCAGGGCCTTGGCACAGTACTTCCAATCTGGAAAATTTCATCAAAAAGATTGAGGATTCTGTGTTTCACTGGAAAAAGGCCTCAGTGAGCCCTGAGGCTCACTGCAGCACTGTACTGCAAATCTCACAAGCCCTGTGGGAGCTTATCACAGACACTACAGCTCCATCTGCCTGGCTCCCTGCTGAACCAGCCCCCGACAGTCAGGGTATCCCCAGAATCCATAGACAGGTCTCCTCCATCTCAGACCCAGGATGACAATGCAAGCTCACCTCCATTTCTCCTGCTTCTCCAGTCACCATTCTGTTCCTCAGTTTCTTCATCTGTCAAATAGGCAGAATCACAGGTAGCTGCAGGCAGCAGCTGTGAAGAACAATAGAGTGTGAATGCAGAATGTTTTGAACAAGGCCAGCACATAGATTGGGCTCAAAGACAGCAGCTACCTTGCCATTTTCTTAGAATTTTCTGTCTGCTTCATTCTGATTCCGATGCCACACCCCCCACTTCATACCAAGCCCTGCACCTCCACTCAGCACAAAGCCTGGCATAGAGCAGATGGTCAGCACATTTGAGAATTGCCAGTAAATCTTTCCTGTGCTCCAAAGCCAGGTGCTAACCTGTGATGGGCGCAGCTGCATAAGTGTGCAGGGGGCCCAGGCCCTGGCATCAGAGAGGTGGGGGCTGAATTTGCCTGTGACACCTCCCAATGGACTAGTGGATGGTCTTGGTCCCCCCACTCAGTCCTCCCTGAGCCTCCGCCTCACACCTGGAGTGAGGGCTTGCAGCTGATGAAGTGGGGGATGAGTGATAGTGAGGTGGTGATTTGCGTAGGTGCTAGTGTTCGTCTTTCTCTCTTGCTCTCTATTGATATGGTGTGGTGTGAGCTGCCAGACTGCTGCTGCACGATTGAAAGAGAACATCTACGAAGTGGTCAGCACATACAGGGACACCTCAATGCTCATTTCCCTCCACCCTCTCCCCACCTTATCTTTCACACGCCCTCTTGTTCTCCAACTTGCTGCCTACTGCATCCTCTGCCGTGAGCGTCAGCAGAGAAGCACCATATTCCACTGCATGCCTGCCTTTCTGTGTCAGAGGTGCCTCGTGTTGACCCCGAATCCTCTCAGGGGACAGGAGGGAGGTCATCAATGCCCCAGAAGCAAAGACCAGAGCCCACCTCACACTGAGTGACTGTGGCTGCTTAGATATGGCCCACAAAGGTCCATGGAGTGAATTTTTAAAAATATTTATTTAATTTATTTATGCATACAAGAGCTGGGGTACAGGCCAGAGGTGCAGGGGGTGAAAGGATTCACCAGGGACAGCGTGGGGAACAGAACAGGCAGATTGACTGAAATACACTGCTGAGGGGAGCAGTGGGAGAGACAGGAGGGGTCTGCTACACCATGTGGGTAGCTATCTGGCCGGGGATCGAACTCATTCTCCAGTGGCTTCACAGTGCTAAGACAGACAGACACACACACACACACACACACACACACACACACCACACACGCACGAAAGAACCACCCCCATGTGCAAGGAGATCTCCTTGCAATTCATCATAAAGTGTGGGCACTCTGCACACCTACCACCCAGCATGCACACGCCATCTGATCAATTTTGCTCCCAAGCAATCCTGCCTTGTCAAGAGCTGACAATCAGACATGCAAAACAAGTGCTCTGTATGAATTTTACAAAAGTATCACTTTGGGAAAACAGAAACCAAAACAAATTGAGAAATCATATAAATAATTACTCTAAACTTCAACTCTAACATGAAAAAGGAAGGCACACAAGCAGAAATCCTAATTAATATGACTGTTTAATTACAGGGGCACAAATTAATAAACCAGAATTACTCCAGACTTCCAGCAGGCAGCCCGTCTCTGCATGCCATCTCCAAAGTGTGGGCACTGGGGCTGGGGGCAAGGAGGGCTTAACTTGCCTTTGCCAGGTGCCTGGCCAGAGCAGCTCAGGGGAGGGGAAGGTGCCAGAGGATCCGTCCTCCCAGTTCCACCTCTCTGCTCAGACACATTGCGCCCTCATCGACACCAGCAGGTGCAAGCTCCCATCCAGGCATATTCTCTAATCAGGAAATCATTCCTCGTGATTTCCTTAGCCAGCCAGGACATGCTAAGGATGCCTTGGGACCCAAAACACCCCGGGATGGCATTTATTAAGTAGCCAGGAAATGCCAGGTCCTCTTAGCTTCCTCACAAGCTCTCTGGATTTGTCTCTCCCTTCTCTCCCTCTTCCTCACCAGTCACCATTTGCTTTGCTTCTGGGTTGCCCCATCTAATGGTTTTGAAAAGTATATCCCTTGTCTGATTGTCAGTTCTTGGTAAGAGAGAACTAGGGTGGGAGCAAAATGCAAACCGGATTCAGAGAGCTGATATCATTCACATGGAAGTGTCATCCCATTATATTGCTTTGAAAACAGAGGCTACAAAGGTCAGCCAATCTCCTGCCAAGCCACACAAATGGAAGGTTCTAGATTCAGAGTTCTTAGCATCGATGTTCAAAGTCAGTGCATTTTTCATCACAACAAGCTTCTTTCTAGAAGTCAACAATGCTACTTACTACCTCTGCAATTCACAGCTAGAACCTCATCTGATCACCTTCTCATTCAGTAACATCAGTTGTGTGCCACCTCCATGCCAGCTCTGACTGCAATTTGGGAACACAATGGTGGGAGACACACTGAGCCAGCGCCCACTAGGAACTGACTTGGGCAGCAAGAGAGAACGACATAAAAAAAATACTCAGAGAGGGCCTCCCCAGTGGCGCAGCAGTTGAGGGCTGGGTTGCGAAGCTGCCTGCGGCCTCTGCGGCGCAGGTTCGATCCCCGGCTGCTCCCCGGCCACTGGAGGAGGGTCCCACATGGCGCGCAGACCTCTCCTGCGCCCGCTGCTCCCTCAGCAGTGTACTTCGGTCCTTCTGCCTGCTCTGCTCCCCGCTCTGGCTCTGGTGAATGCTCTCACCCTCCCGCGCTTCTGACTGTACCCAGTGCATGTATAAACAAAAAACAAACAAACAAATAAATAAATAAAATATGCCTCTATTAAAAAAAAAAAATACTCAGAGAGATAAATGCATTCCTTTGCCTTTGATCAGGGCTACCCAGAAGCAAGAGCCAGGTTAAGAACTTGTTGAGTGAGGTTTGAGTGGTGAGCAAAGGCTTCCCAAAGAAGTAATGGTTGACACACTGTGAAAGATGAGTGTCAGTCATTGTACATCATACAGAGACGTGAATATGTGAATACAGAAGACTTTTCTGTCCTTACTCTATTTTCTTGCCACACATCTCCCCTAACCTGCTCCAGCCTATCTTGGCCCCTGTCCTTCCACCACACCCTGGGATTTAATGTCATAGATTTCAAGGACATTTGTAATATTCAATTTACTTGAGTTTTCACGCATTTCTGGCAGAGCTGGTCACACCTTTCTTTCCCTTGTCTTTTGAGATAGAGATTTTACTGGCTTTCCTCTTGCCTCTCTGTATTCTCCTTGAAAATTGTCTCACTTCAGTGTTTTCCTCTAAGTGTTCTTCAAGAATTGATCTTGGACATGTCTCTCTCTTATTTCATATCTTTCTTGGACAACCTTGTGCACACCACAGCATTATTTACACACTACTGTGGTGATTCTTGAATTTGATCTCTAGCCTAGATGTTCCTCTGGGATTCTAGATGTGTATTTCCAAATTGTGTGCTGACAGCTGCTCTTGGGTGTCTCAAAGGCAACTCAAACTTGGGATGATCATACCCGCTTTTGTCTTATGACCTTGACTCTACCTCAGCACCATCTATCCAATCTGCAAGCCAGATCCTTAATTAACATCCACGATTTTTTCCTCCTTGCCTCATGTGATAGATTGAACAGTAATAGCATCCAAAGATGGCCAGTTCCTAACCCTGCAACCTGTGAAGGTCACCTTATTGGAAAAATGAATGTTGAAGATATGATTCAATCAAGGAAACAAATTCCTTAAAACTCAAGATAGAGAGATTATCCTGGACTATCAGTTTAGTCCCTAGCAGAGGGAAGCAGAGGGGGGATGTGATGGAAAGGAGGGAAGAAGAGCAGGCCAAGTGATGGAAGGGGAGACTGGAGCAATGCAGCCACAAGTCAAGCAATGCCAGCAGCCACAAGAATAGATTCTCCCTTCCACATCCAGAAGGAACCAGCCCTGCCAACACTTTGATTGTTAGCCCTGTAAGACTCCTTTCTGACTGCTGGCCACAAGACTGTTAGAGTCTTAAAGTCATTTGAAGTCATTTGTTACAGCACCAATAGGAAACTAATACACCCAGTACGTATGCCACCAAGTCTTCTTATTTTGCTACTCCAATAATTTCCAGATGTACCTACTTTTCCCCAAAGCCACAGCCCCTCCCCTGATCATCTCTCAATAGCAAAGGTCATATCCTCTATCTTCTCATGGCTCCTAGGGTAGAAAGCAAAATCACTGGCTTGGTCCACATAAACTTGCTTGCCCTGCTCCCTGCCCTCCTTCCCAAGCTAACCTTGCACTTCAGACCCTCACTGACCTTTCCGTTGGTGGCAAGCACTAGTGCCCTATCTACCACAAGGCCTTTGCATTCCATTCTTCTTTATAACTGTAACAGCATCATATTCTTTCTAATTTCCAAGACTGAGCTTATTAACACATAACTATTATAATTTTACATTATTTTGTAGGATTTCATGGTTAATATCTAACTCCACCCCACAGCCAATGATCCTCAGCAAATAGGGAGAAAGAAAGGTCATGGCTGACTTTGTCCTCCACTGTATTCTCAGCATGTAGCATAATGCCTGGCACTGAGCAAGTGCCCTACAGAGACTCCCATAGCCCAGGGAGTGTCCATGAGGAGCGGGTCAGTGGTCCCAGGACTTGGTTTGCCCCAACCCTTCTAGCCATGCATGTAGAGAAAGAAGCATATCATGAGGAGGACTCGGCTGCACTCAACAATGGCCAAGGAAACTCCAGTGTGAGGGCTTCACCTTCCTCAGTGCCACCCCCAAAGGACAGGTGCTGGCAGGACTCTTGTTCATCTGGAGTCCTCAGGAGAGGATGTCTGGAGATTTTCTTTGCCACTTCACCTAATCCCTCTCCTATTCTAGCCCTGTGAAGCTCCTTGGCCATTTTCCCTTGGGTTTCTTTGATGAAAGCTCTTTGGAAATTGTCTAATATTAGGCCAAAGTCATCAAATAGCTCCCTGCTCCCTGGGGTTCACCTGAAGGCACATTCTACACCATTTGAGGTTGGAGATGGCTTTTCATCAGCCAAAGAAGCCTCTCTATCAAGTTCACATACCAAAAGTACTTCCACATAGGAAAGTTTGTTTTCTTTTTAT